GTATCCCAATTTGGACGTCAGAAAATTGTGCGAAGGAAGTTTTGAACGATTTGTTTGTGGAAACATTTATGCTTCGTGGTGGAAAATGAGAGACGAGGGCATTTGAATGAAATGCGGAGAGCCTAAGGAGGCAACTCGTAGCCAGAAGACTGTTTAACGGTCTGTGACGAACAGAAGGCTCGCGCGTTGAACACGGGATGCTCGTAATTTTCTTTGCTCAAGAAACTGGTACACGGTTCGACGATGTATAACACGACGTTTGTCGTCCTCGTTGCGTGTTGCATGTCCTGTCCATCTCATTCTCCCTGTGAAGTTCCTCTTAATGTAATTTTCTACACGAAATTATTACGTTCTGTCTCCGCGGCTTGTTCTCAGAGACTGTCGATTCATGTTCTCACTTTAGTGTCAGAACTAAATTTTAAAAAAAAATTAAAATTTTATTTGATGAAAAGAACTTGGTTCTTTCATTACGTACAGGACAACTCCGCGTCACAACCCAGAAGACCACAGTTGACCTTGAAGCTGGGCTATTACCCCGCGTAGAAGTTTACCAAGGTATCAGAGGTGCTTACTGCCTCAATCATCGGGGCGACGAGTGTTTTATTACCACAAGCTCCGTGGATGAATGACCCCGATTACGACTGTCGTCTGTCTGTGCTACATGATCGCTTTGCGTTACACTTGTTACAGAAACGACAAGTTGAATGCGAGCCTGAGAAGTGTCCGGGTAACCAGGGCTGTTACAGGCTACTCAACGAGAGTAAGGACGGCTGCTGCCGCGTCTGCAAAGGTAAGGACGAACAGCGACGGAATCTGAGAGTAAAGAAATCATCCGACCGCCTCTACAGAACCAGAAGGCTTGTTGCTGTATTTACAGGAACTCGCTGCCGGACCCTGTTCTGAGCCAGTTGAATCCAATTAGTATCCTCACATGTGAAGTTAAATTTTAACAAACTCCATCGACTAGAGCAGTGGTATTCAACCTAGGGTACGCGTACCCCCGGGGGTACGTGAAATTTAAAAAAATATATATATTATTTTATGTTAAACACTGAATAATCAGTAATGTAATTTATTTAATTTATTTTAGATGTAGATTATATACTATGTATAATTTGAATTATACACCAACAACTTTGGGTGTAAAAAGTTGAAGAGAAATTATATCTGGGGGTACGCGAAGACATCTTAGAGGGTACGTGAAATTTAAAAAAATATATATATTATTTTATGTTAAACACTGAATAATCAGTAATGTAATTTATTTAATTTATTTTAGATGTAGATTATATA